TCGTACCCACATTATGCTAGTGCAACTCTACTCCAAAGCCAGAAGAGACTTGATTACATGGGTATTAATTTCCCCATCTCTTTAAGCGATGTTCTTAAATTTGAGAAGAGAAATGGTCTATCAATCAATATTTATGGCCTTGAAAGTGGAGTGAACGCTGAGAAGGAAATAGTGCCATTTTACCTTAGCAAAATGAAATCAGACATACCTACAATTCATTTATTACTTTTTTGTACGAGTGTGCATTTGCCAGTCAATGTACAGCCAGTTTATCACTTCGCGTGGATTAGTGATCTTTCAAGACTTGTTAGTGCGCAAATTTCAAATCGCGACCACCGTACATGGCTCTGTGATCGGTGCTTGTGTCATTTTCGGGAGAAAAAAAGTTATGAGGATCACAAACAAGACTGCTTTGTTATCAACAAATGTAAAATGATACTACCATTAGAGGAGAATAAAATTTTTAAATTTCGAAATCATAAATTCAAGGAACTAGTGCCATTCGTTATTTACGCTGATCTGGAGTGTATTTTACAACCGATTGATGATTATGATGATGATGATAACAGATTGTACCAGAAACATATCCCTCACAGTATCGCTTTCTACTTACAGTGTTCCTTCAATAATAACCTATCTCTCTTTAAAATCAAACGTGGCGCGGATTGTATCATGTGGTTCATGAATGAATTAAAGAAGACGGGAGAGATGGTAAATGATATATTGAAGACTGTTGTACCAATGGAACCACTTACCGACGAAAAATCGCGAGACTTTGCAACTGCTCGAGTGTGTCATATATGTGAGAAGCCTTTCAGTTCAACAGATATAAAACATCGAGACCATTGTCACTTCACAGGCAGGTATTGTGGAGCGGCGCATGCTGGTTGCAATATAAATTACAAAAATTCACAAGATATCCCCATAATTTTTCATAATCTCTCAGGCTATGATGCACATTTTTTGATTAAAGATTTGGTAAAATATTTTGAGGGACCGCTAGCGTTGCTTCCACTAACCAAAGAGAGATATATTTCATTCAGGAAATCTATTCCACAGACGAAAGTTAGCTTGAGATTCATCGATTCGTTCAGGTTTATGGCAAGTAGCTTGGAACAATTGGCATCAGACCTGACTGATGTAGACAAGACTATTACACTGGCTCATTGTGATGATGATGAACAATTCCATTTATTAATGAGGAAGGGTGTATTTCCCTATGAATACTTGGATAGTTGGGATAAATTGGATGGTCGAGAACTGCCCTCAAGAGAAGCTTTTTTTTCGGCACTGAACAACCAAACGATTTCAAATGACGATTATGCACATGCGTGTCACGTTTGGGAGAAATTTGATCTCTCAACACTTGGTGAATATTCTGATTTGTATCTGAAAACTGATGTGTTACTCCTGGCTGATATTTTTGAGAATTTCCGGAAAAGCTGTTTTTCCGTGTACAAACTAGATCCACTGCATTATTATACAGCACCTGGACTTGCGTTCGATGCAATGTTGAGATGCACTGGTGTGGAGATTGAACTTTTCACAGACGTTGATAAACTCTTATTCATTGAAAAAGGTATCCGAGGAGGAGTAGCTCAGTGCACTAATCGTTATGCTCATGCCAATAATCGTTATATGGGTGAGAATTACAATCCAAACGAAGAGGAATCATATCTTATGTACTTTGATGTGAATAATTTGTACGGTGCAGCGATGAGTCAATACTTACCCTGTGGTGCATTTGAGTGGGAAAATCCCGAAGGATTCAATGCTCTTCATGTACCTGATGATTCTCCAACTGGATATATATTGGAAGTAGACTTGGAATATCCCAGAGAACTTCATGATGCACACAAGGACCTACCTCTATGCCCTGAACATTTTGTTCCTCCAAATCGCAAGAATACCAAGTTAATGACTACTTTGTATGCCAAAAAATCCTATGTTATACATTACAGAAATTTGAAACAAAGTTTGAATCTTGGAATGAAATTGACGAGGATCCATCGAATATTGAAATTCAAACAAGCAACATGGCTCAAGCCCTATATTGACCTGAACACAGAAATGCGGAAAAAATCGACGAGTGAATTTGAAAAGAATTTCTTCAAATTAATGAATAATGCTGTTTTTGGGAAAACCATGGAGAATGTAAGGAAGCACAAAGATGTCAAATTAGTCACCGAGTGGGGCGGAAGGTGGGGGGCAAGACCTCGCATCGCTCTGCCTAATTTCCACAGCAGTTTGATTTTCGATGATGATATGGTGATAATTGAAATGAATCGCACGCGAATCACTTTTAATAAACCAATCTACATTGGATTCGCCATTTTGGACTTGTCGAAAATTTATATCTACGATTTTCATTATAACTATGTGAAACAGGTATTTGGTGAGCGTTCAAAATGGCGAATCCAATGTAGATTGGTTTATTAAAAGTGATTCGCGTGCGGTTCATTTCAATTTTCACCATATCATCATCGAAAATCAAACTGCTATAGAAATTAGGCAGAGCGATGCGAGCTCTTGCCCCCCACCTTCCACCCCACTCGGTGACTAATTTGACATCTTTGTGCTTCCTTACATTCTCCATGGTTTTCTCAAAAACAGCATTATTCATTAATTTGAAGAAATTCCTTTNAATTCACCATTTTGGACTTGTCGAAAATTTATATCTACGATTTTCATTATAACTGTGTGAAACAAGTGTTTAGTGAGTGTTCAAAATTAATGTACACTGACACAGACAGGCTTATATATCATTTCAATGTTCCTGATTTTTATGAGTTTATCAAACGAGATATTACGAAATTTGATACTTCCGATTATCCCGCAGAGAATTTTTTTCAAATGCCAAGAGTGAATAAAAAAGTGATAGGTTTAATGAAAGATAAACGTAAAGGGAAAATTATGACTGATTTTATAGGCCTGCGTGCCAAACTCTATACTTTCAAGGTTTTGGGTGATTTAAAAGAGAAAAAACGAGCGAAAGGTGTGAAAAAAGCTACACTGAGGACAATTACATTTGAAGATTATAAAAAATGTCTCTTTCAGCAGAAAAATCTTAAAACATATCAATTGTTGATTCAGAGTAAAAAACATGAAGTTTACACTGGAAAACAACAAAAATTAGCCTCGAGTTCTAATGATGACAAGAGAATCATAACACCTGGTTCGACAGATCCTGTACCTTATGGATATCATGAATAACTCAACACAGTTTCGAGAAAATATTTTGTTTTTCATTTAAAAAAATTATATTTGATTAGCATCTATCCAACTATTATGTGTATCATCAAATCCCAACCATTTTACAAATTCTTTCTTCCCCTTCCTTCTCAACACTTTCTCCACAAGAAACACATCTGGATGCTTCACTCCACTCAGTTCCTCCTGATAAAAACCTCCTTTGATTGCTTCATTCTTCCCATCCACAAGTTTATAGGTGACAGGATTGGTCTTCTGTACTTTCTGAATTGTGAAAACTTCTGTTGTCCAGTTGGGGGTGTATCCTTTCTCGAAAATTGTTTTATACTTGCTGATTCGCACTTTATCACCAACCTTGAATTTGATTTCCTTCGTACGATTTATCGGTAATTTCTCATATATATGTTTCAACAAAGATTTTTCATTCTTGATTGCGACGTCTTTCGGCTTCATTTTGATGGTACGATGTTTTGTATTATTGTATTCAGCTACTAAATCATCAACAATGTCAATCCACTTGTAAGTCCCAAGAATAGAAAACTGCTTCCACATTTTATTCTTCAGCGTTCGATTGAAACGTTCACATATGGATGCCTTGACATTACTGAAGGTTGAGTACATGCTTATTTTATTCTTTTTCATGAGAGCTTGAAAATCTTTATTGTAGAACTCTTTGCCCTGATCCACGTGTAGCTTTGTGGGAACACGGCCTTCTTTCAAAATTTTATTCATAGCACTTGTGACATCAGCAGCGTTTTTTGACTTGGTGGGAATGGCCCAGGCGTACTTAGAGAAAATATCTATGACAGTGAGGAGATATCGGTAATTTTTATTGGAGTTCGCATATGGAATCATTTCCACAAGATCAGCCTACCACGTCTCATCCAGTCCACGAACGTCAACATGTCGTCGCTTGAAATTTCTTCGAGCTGGCCTATGAAGCTCTTTAGCTATTGTCCGTTTCGTTAGA